TTGAATAGGAAGGAAATGAAGGCATAAGCCTCAAAGGAATCAAATCGCACGATGAGGAATCAAGAAGGGAAGTGCTCCTAACAGTCCTGTAGCCTCTCGAAGATAAGTACAGACGTCTCCGTACCGATCCGCAAGATTCTACTAGACTCGCTCATGACTCGTGAGACCTAAGTGAACCTAGTGCTCTGATACCATATTGTCACGACCCAAAATCCTTTAAAGGTCGTGATGGCGCCTAACACCGTTGTCAAGTAAGCCAACGATAATTAATTAACTTAATTACTTATTTTAGTATTTTCAAATCGTAATTTCCTTCAATTAAAAAGTAAAAGATAGGATTTACGGAGTAAATAATAATATTTTCGCAACTAAAATACTGAACAACCCATAACCACTCCCAAAACCCGATGTCACAAGTGCATGAGCATTAACTAGGGAGTAAAATAAAATACAGCATATGTCCGGAATGCAAATTAGATAGTAAAGATATAAATAACTCTGAAGGAGACTCTTCTGGCTGCGAATCGTAGTATAGAATGCAGCTCACCTAAGTCCCCGCAATAACCGCGCCTCTGCGCCCGCAAAGCCACTAGAGATATATGCACCTGCATAAAAATATGCAGTAAGTGTAGTATGAGTACGTAAATCAATGCGTACCCAGTAAGTATCTAGTCTAACCTCGAAGTAGTGATGAAGGGTCGACTCCGACACTTACTATGGGCTAACAATAAAATACTGATATTATACTTAAGCATGGATTGAATGAAACAACTGTAAACTCAATAACAAGAAGTGGGTGAAAATTCTTTTATTAATAGGGAAATTTTCCAAATTTATTCTCGCCATTTAACAATTTATATCTCAAGCCAATGAAGCAATATCAATTATTATTAGTTCCAAAGATTTATCATGCGCAAGTCATGCCGAGATCGTACGACCCGATCCAACATAAATGTTTAAATTGTGCATTGCCAAGGGTCGAACGGCGCGAACCATAGATGCATCTATCTGCTACCGAGGCGTTCGGCCTACTCCACAAAAGAGAAAATACATTTACAACAACCAATTCAAGATTTATTAAGGTGCAATTATTCAAGGGAATACCAAATTCTCATTAACGGTCAAGAAAATAAAGTTTAACCTTTTACAATCCATTTATCAAGTTTCAGTATGATTTAAGCAATTAAATTAACAAGTAAGGTGTAAACACCGCAAGTATAACATGATCTGGGTCCTAGACTACCCGGGCATAAGCATAATAGTAGCTACGCACGGACTCTCGTCACCTCACGCGTACGTAGCCTCCACAAATAGAAGCACATATTAAATCAATTTGCCTAGGGGGTAATTCCCTCTTAGAAGGTTAGAAAAGAGACTTATCTCGCTCTGAAATTCCATAACCGGATCCAAAGCCTTTTCAACAACTCAAACTGATGCCCATCGCTCCAAAACTAGTCAATAAATGTGCAAATTCATAAATATATACTCTAATACTCATTATAATTCAATTTACAATAATTTCCAACTCAGCTCGAAAAGTCAATAAAAATTATCCTCAAGCCCACGTGCCCGGATTCCGAAATTTCTGAAGATAACCGTTACCCGTAACACTACCAACTCAAATATATGATTTATTCTCAATTCTATGCCCAAATTCGTGGTCAAAATCCAAGAATGCAAATGTCTAGGTTTTTCTTCAAAATCCCAATTTTTACTAACTTTCATGTTTAAATCCATATATAAACCATGTATTTAACTCACAATATTTGGGAATTAATTACCTCATGAAGGATGACAGAATGGCACTCCAAAATCGCACCCAAGGTTAGCTCTCAAGGAGTAAATGAAATGAAAATGGCCAAACACCATTTTATTAAGAAACCTCACTGCCTAGCCACGATTTCCGCTTCTGCGGTCCAATAGCCGCTCCTGCGGCTCCGCACCTGCGAAAATTCCATCGCAGGTGCGGTTCAAGCTCGGCCCAACAGTCCCCGCATCTACGCCCCATGCAACGCATCTGCGCTTTCGCTTCCGCTTCCGCGATCCTCATGTGCATCTGTGCATTTTTGCCTATTTCTACGGCCCCAGGACTTTTGGCCACCTCCACTTCTGCGCTTGCCTTGCCGCTTTTGCGGCATCGCACCTGCGGCCCTTTTTCCGCAGGTGCGATTCCACCAGAAAATAAAAAATTCCAGCATTTCCTTAGTTCAAAAATCGATCCGTTAAGCATCCGAAACTCACCCGAGGCTCCCGGGACCCCAACCAAACATACCAACAAGTCCTAAAACGTCATACAAACTTAGTTGAGCCTTTATATCACATCAAACAATGCTAAAAACATGAATCACCCTCCAATTCAAACTTAATGAACTTTGAAACTTCAAACTTCTACAATCGATGCTGAAACCTATCAAATCACGTCTGATTGACCTCAAATTTTGCATACAAGTCATAATTGACATTACGGACCTACTCCAACTTCCGGAATTGTAATCTAACCTTGATATCAAAAAGTCCACTCCCGATCAAACTTTCCCAAAAACCTTTAAATTCCCAACTTTTGCCAAATGACCCCATAATGACCTAAGGACCTCCAAATCCACTTTCGGACGCACTCCTAAGACCAAAATCACCATACTAGACTATTTCCAGGTTTGAAATCCCAAACAGATGTCAATAACGTTGAAATACACTTCGACGTTATTCATGAAATTCTTTCAAAATGCTAACCTTCCACAATAGGCGCTGAAACGCTCTCGGGTCGTCCAAAACCAGATTCAGGCATACACCCAAGTTCAAATTCATCATACAAACCTGCTGGAACCTTCAAATCCCTATTTCGAGGTCGTTTACTCAAAAGTCAAACATTAGTCAATTCCTCCAACTTAAAGCTTCCGAATTTAGAATTTTCTTTCCAAATTGACTCTGAACTTCCCGAAACTCAATTCCGACCACACGTACAAGTCATAATACCTTAAGTGATGTTAATCATGGCCTCAAACCGCCGAACGACGTGCTAGAGCTCAAAACGACCGGTCAGGTCGTTACACATATTATTCCCCACTTTTTCACCAGATTTAAGGATTGTTCATGCAAATCTTGGATCTATCTGTCATTCACCATTGTCAGGCAGAATATTCACCTTGTCCATTCATTATCGGGTGAATCATTCTCTTTATTTACATAAATACAATTTATTGACACTTATTGCTAGATATATCTCATTTAGTGTTCTTGGTTGAAGAGTATTTCAGATTTATTGACATCAATCATATGCAAACTCAACCCCATATATCTTGCATCCTTATGCTTAATATCAAGAGTCATTATCCTTAAGTAGATTTGACCTGTCATTATATAAATTTAATAGTTTAACTGGAGATTATATTTCTTGGTCAAACAATTTGGCGCCGTCTGTGGGGATTTTCTAGCTAAGCTTTTTAGTTTCTTCTAGATCTACAACTGGCACTGATTGCTGACGTAAAAAAAAAGAACCTTTTTCTCTCCGCTTGCATAGATCTAACATGGGAGTAACATAGAAGAAAGAGTAATAATTATGAGTGGCCTCCCAACCAACCTCATGGATATCATCCATGAGAGCTCGGAGGTAGTGGACGAGGACACAACACCCAATGCCTCTCCTAGGCGAGGTGACCCACTTCCTCCCTATTGCAGCATCACGAAATCCTTTGGCAAGACAGACTCCACATCCATGAGAGAGGAAGCACCGCCACCGATAAAGAAGCTCCTCGAAGCTCGGTTAACTGATACACTAACTAGCGTCCTCCATAAGTTCGTTCAGGGCGCGTCCACATCGACTGTGAGGACCTGTGCTACGCCACCAGAGAACGAGAGACATGATCAAATTCCCCCCTCCCCCCGCAACAATAGGTATCACTCACAATGTCGTTAATAATGCAAGTAATGATGCACTCACAACCGTTCAAAAAAGGATAGAAGAAATGAAAAATGAGAACAAGGCTCTTTGGGACCAAATGAGAGAGCACCGAGAAAGGGTCGATAAAATACCGGGCGCTCCTAAGTTATTACCAAAGAGAGATGTCGGTCGGTTCGTCGAGCAGCCATACAGCGACGGTGCTGCCCCGCACGCCATAGAGAATACTTTTAAAATGCCACCCTACTTGAAAATATACGATGGCACGACCGACCCTGAGGACCATGTAACCCACTACGTCATCGCTGTGAAAGGCAACGACCTCACAAAGGAACAAGTATCCTCCGTTCTGCTAAAGAAATTCGGCGAAACCCTCATGGGAGAAACACTAACCTGGTACTCACAGCTACCAGCCCGTTCCATCGAAACTTTCGAGGAAATGGCCGATAAATTCGTGACAACCCATGCCGGAGCCAAAAAGGCCGAGGTGAGAGTGAATGATATCTTTGCTATCAAATAGTCACCAGGAGAAGGACTTAGTGATTTCCTCGCCCGTTTCAACCGAGAGAGAATGACTTTTCCCAATGTATCAGAAGGAATGATGGTGGCCACTTTTAAAAACGGACTCAACAGAAATGGTTCGAGAGCGAAATACATAATGCATATTGTGCCGAAGTTCGAGCAGACGAAGACGACCTCAATGGGCCAACTCATCGACTGACCTCAGTACAAGCAGAATCCAAAAAATATCAGAGAAGTGATATCAGAAGAGATCCGGCAACCTCATGGCCAAACCGGGACCGACATCTCCCATATGTCAGAACGACCGCTCTAACCTCATCATGCCATGAAGAAGGCCCACCCCAGTCAAGAACAGGGACTCACCGGTATGAAAGAGGTATGCCACATTTATTATCTGTTCACAATTTTTGCGTGTCACCTACAGAGATCGTCTACGCCCTCGAGAATCTCGGGTCAAAGGTGAAGTGGCCGCAAAAGATGAAATCAGATCCGAATACCAAAAAATCAGACACCCTCTTAGTTCCATCAAGAGCGAGGACACAAAAACGAAGATTGCATCGCCCTAAGACAGGAGGTCGTAAATATGTTGCGACAAGGGCACCTCAAAGAACTACTGAGCGATCGGGGAAGAACTAACTTTGCCAGGGGACGCGAACAACATCAAGGACTACTGAAGCCGCCCTCACCAGCCCGCACCATCCATATGATCATCGGCGGTGAAAATGATGCTTCCATCAACAGTGTAAAATTTACCACGACCCACAAGCTCAAACAGTCGATCACCTACGAATGGTATGACGAACTCGAAGAAAGTATCATCTTCGATAAGTTAGATACCAACGGTTTGGCATTCCCTCACTATGACGCTCTTGTTATTACTTTACGAATTTTAAATACCGACGTAAGACGGATTATGGTAGATGACAAAAGCGGCACGTATATTATCCATCCCCGAGTACTCACACAAATGAAACTCGAGGACATAGTACCACGCTACATCACACTAACGGGTTTTAACAATGCAGTTAAACGAACATCTGGCGAGATCACACTCCCCATCCTGGCAGGTGGTGTCACTCTAGAGACCACATTCCACATCATGGATCAGGACATGGCATACAATGCCATAATAGGGCGACCGTGGATACACACCATGAGAGCTATACCTTCCAGCTTGTACCAAGTCATCAAATTTCCAACTCCATAGGGGATGTTCAACATACGCGGGGAACAACATATATCTCAAGAATGCTATCGCATAGCCCTAGACTGCACGACCACTCAACTAATGAAAGACAAAGAGAAGGCAGTATAGCAATCAACAGGGTCATGGTCGGTAGACTACGACATCAAAGACTCCAATGTGGTCGAGGCCGCAGGATCGACTATAGAGGACCTCGACCCCGTTCAACTAGATGTCAACGATCTCAGCAAGAAATCTTACATCGGCTGCAAACTCCAAGAGCCAGGTAAGTTTCGCTAATTCTTAATTGCTAATGCGGACCTGTTTGCTTTTAGCCATGCAGATATGCCAGGTATCCCAAAAGACATCGCCATACACAAATTGAACGTTGATCCACTCTATCCCACGGTAAGGCAGGTTTGACGCAAGTTCAATTCCGCAATCAATGATGTGGTGCGCGAAGAAGTGGAAACATTATTGGAAAATGGCTCTATCAGAGACTTGAAGTACCCCCAATGGGTCACCAACGTGGTCATGGTAAAAAAGAAAAATGTCAAGTGCCGAATGTGCGTGGATTTCACCGACCTGAACAAAGCTTTCCCCAAGGATTCATTTCCACTACCTCATATCGACCAACTTATCGATGCAGCAGCCGGACATGAGTTCTTGAGTTTCCTGGATGCCTACTCGGGCTACAACCAGATCCTTATGGAGGAAGCGGACCAGGAAAAGACCACCTTCATCACCCGCCAAGGGACATACTACTACAGGGTCATGCCTTTTGGACTGAAAAATGCGGGGAAACATACTAGAGACTGGTGACGAAAATGTTCAAAGAACAACTCAGAAAGACGATGGAAGTATACATCGACTACATGCTGGTCAAATCCAAAAAGAAAGAAGATCACGTCGATCATTTAAGAGAATCCTTTAGCATACTCAGGCAATACGACATGAAGTTGAACCCCAAAAAGTGCACATTCAGCGTAGCCTCAGGAAAATTCTTGGGTTTCTTAGTGTCGCAGCGGGGTATCGAGGTCAATCCCGACCAAATCAAGTCCATCAAGGGTATACCAGAGCACTTGACCACCAAAAAACAAGTTCAAAAGCTAACTGGCCATATCGCCGCCCAGTCAAGGTTCATCTCGCGGTCCTCTGATAGGTTCCATAAATTCTTCGGCATACTTAAAATGGAAAACACCTCCAATGGACCCCTGAATGCGTCAAGCATTGAATGAATTGAAGGTATACCTATCCTCACCATCGTTGCTCTCAAAACTAGAACTGGGACAACCTCTCCTCATCTATCTCGCCGTATCCGAAGTAGCTATGAGCGCAGTTCTAGTCCAAGAAAATAAAGGTATGCAATCTCCCATCTATTACATTTTCAAGGCATTAGTCGACACCGAGACGAGGTACCCCCATCTTGAAAAACTAGCTCTGGCCTTAGTCATAGCTTCATGGAAGCTTAGACCGTATTTCATAGGCCATCCCATCTTGGTCGTCACGACTTTCCCCGTAAGAAGCATTTTACACAAACTCGAACTTTCGGGCAGATTGGCCAAATGGGCCATCGAACTAAGCGAGCACGATATTACATATCGACCGCGAAAGATGATAAAATCTCAGGTCCTCGCCGACTTCAGTGCACACATACTGTCCAAAGTCAAAAATGAAGCCCTCCACACTTCTCAAACACACGACATCTGGGTCCTATACATCGACGGTGCATCTAACGTGTCGGGGTCCGGGTTGGGACTCGTACTTAAAGTCCCAACAGGCGAAGTGATTCGCCAGTCTATAAGGTGCCCGAAAATGACTAACAACAAGGCTGAGTATGAGGCCGTAATTGCAGGACTAAGACTAGCACTCCAATACGGGGAGAACCGGCTAAGGTTGCGCTGCGATTCTCAGGTCGTGGTCAACCAAGTCACAAGGACTTTCCAAATCAAGGAGCAGAGGTTACAAAAATACCAGACCAAAATTTGCAAACTACTACCCGAGTTCGACGAATGTTAGCTCGACCAGATTCCCTGAGCATAGAATATTGAGGCAGACGGCCTCGCCATATTGGCAGCAGCCACCAAAAACATCGCAACTGGGGACCAAAGTGTGGTGCACCTCCTCAATTCATCGATAGACCAAATCGAGGTAAGAACCGTAAACCTAACTTGGGATTGGCGCAACTATATTGCTACATATTTGTAGGACGGTATACTCCCCAATGATAAAAAGAGGCCAAGAAACTGCGGACACAAGCAGCCAGGTATAGCATCGTTCACAACGACCTATAAAAAAGGACATATGGCGGCCCCCTAGCGAAATGATAGGGCCCAAATCAGACGCGGCACGTCCTTGAAGAAGTGCACGAAGGCCACTACGGAGCTCACTCCGGCAATCGAGCATTGGTCAGGTACCTCATACGAGTAGGATACTACTGGCCCACCATGAAAAATGAAGCTGCAGATTTTGTGAGAATATGCAAGCTATGCCAGAAGTATGCCCCAATGATCCTCCTAGCAGGCGAACGACTACACTCAGTGACTTCCCCTTGGTCGTTCATCAAATGGGGAATGGATATCGTGGGCCTCCTCCCGGCCGGACGAAGTAATGCACGATTTCTCTTGGTTTTAACTGATTATTTCTCTAAATGGGTGGAAGCATGAGCATTCGCCCAGATACGCGAACAGGAAGTAATCGCCTTCACATGGAATAACATCATATGCCATTTCGGTCTCCCCCAAAGAAATCATCTGCGACAACGGACCTCAATTTGCAAGAAAGAAGGTCGCCGAATTTCTTGAAAAATGGCACATCAAAAGAATACTGTCAACGCCTTACCACCCCACAGGTAACGGGAAAGGGGAATCCTCCAACAAGTCAATACTGAACATCATGAAAAAGAAACTCGAAGACGCCAAGGGACTGTGGCCGTAGGTATTACCAGAAGTACTCTAGGGCTACCGGACAATGACAAGAGTGAGCACCGGAGAAACGCCATACTTGTTAGTCTATGAGAGTGATGCATTAATACCAGTCGAGGTCGGGGAGCACAGTCTAAGGTACTTCCGCGAGAGGGGATCCCAGAACGATGACAGTAGAATACAAGATCTCGACAAGGTCGAGGAACGAAGAGGTATGGCTTACGTAATAATGGTCGCCCAAAAGCAACAAGCAGAACGCTACTATAACAAGAGGGCAAAGATCAGGCCACTTAAAGTAGGGGACTACGTGCTTAAAGCCAAAACACAAGCAAGCAAAGACCCGCGAGAAGGCAAACTGGGAACAAACTAGGATGGCCCCTACAAAATCATGGCAGCAACAAGCAAAGTGTCATTCACACTAGAAACAATGGAAGGAAAGCGACTACCAAACAACTGGAACATTACGCACCTCAAGTACTTCAACTTTTAAAAGGACGAGGTCCCCAAAGTCGCACTCTTTTTCCCTCACTCGAGTTTTGTCCCAATTGGGTTTTCTCGAGAAGGTTTTTAACGAGGAGATGACGAGGATACTTCAGAATTAAAGTACACAGATGGAAAGCACTGCACGATCAGTTCATTGCTCAGTCTCTCACTATCTTTCCAGCTCGACCAATGAAGGGACTAGATAGATTGGGACTGAACTACGAGCTAGCGCTCGGAAAATATGTAGATCTCTCCAAAAGTATGAATAACGCACAAGCACATGAAAGTTTCTCTACTCTCCAATTAAAGGTTACATTCGACCTCGTTCGAATTAACACCTATTCGGCCCACGGCCTCAATTAATTAAAGGTTACATTCGACCTCGTTCGAGTTAACACCTATTCGGCCCACGACCTCAATTAATTAAGGTTACATTCGACCTCATTCGAATTAACACCTATTCGGCCCACGACCTCAAATAATTAAAGATTACATTCGACCTCGTTTGAATTAACACCTATTCGGCCCACTGCCTCAACTAATTAAAGGTTATATTCGACCTTGTTTGAGTTAACACCTATTCGGCCCACGACCTCAAATAATTAAAGATTACATTCGACCTCGTTTGAATTAACACCTATTCGGCCCACTGCCTCAACTAATTAAAGGTTATATTCGACCTTGTTTGAGTTAACACCTATTCGGCCCACGACCTCAATTAATTAAAGGTTAAATTCGACCTCGTTCGAATTAACACCTATTCATCCCACAACCTCAATTAATTAAAGGTTACATTCGACCTCGTTCGAATTAATACCTATTTGGCTCACGACCTCAACTAATTAAAGGTTATATTCGACCTCGTTCGAGTTAACACTTACTCGGCCCATGGCCTCAATTAATTAAAGGTTACATTCGACCTCGTTCGAATTAACATCTATTCGGCCCACGAGCTCAATTAATTAAAGGTTACATTCGACCTCATTCGAATTAATACCTATTCGGCCCACGACCTCAACTAATTAAAGGCTATATTCGACCTCGTTCAAGTTAACACCTACTCGGCCCACTACCTCAATTAATCAAAGGTTACACTCGACCTCGTTCGAACTAACACATGTTCGGCCCACGGCCTCAATTAATTAAAGGTTACGTTTGACCTCTTTTCGAATTACTACCTCCTCGGCCCACAGCCTTAACCAAATTAAGGCTACCTTCAACACCGTTCAACCCACTCAAGTCTGTTATGACAAAGGCAATCAAGCAATAAAATCAGAAAAGCATACAAATTCAAACAAAGAAAAGAAGTCAGGTACGAACAATAAAACTAACACTTTCATTAAGAATATTTTTTACAAAGGCTGCACGCCTACAAAAAGTTCACATGCCCGCGACTAAAATAAAAAAAAAGAAACTAATCACCACCCGGCTCAGTAGTGTCACCCGCTTGATCATTAAGACCGTCTTCACCTACCTTATCACCATCGCCAACGGGATATTCATCCTCGTACCAGGCATCTTGTGCAATCTGGTCCACGCTCGCACCCTCCTCGTCATCACCAGCTTCCAGTGTAGCGGGGTCATAGCCATAAGCAAACCAAGATTTACGTGCCTTAGCACGTGCATTCTCAAAGTCGGCTTCTGAAACAGCCCCCGCCCTCATCAGATCCCTGAATATATCCAGTTGGGCCTCGACGTGAATCCATTCCTCATACAGATCCTGAGGAATATCAGGAAAAGCAGAAGTGCGGGATGAGGATGCTGAGCCAACAACTGTGCCTTTTCGTCCTAGAGGGCAACAACTCGATCACCAAGGCCCGCAACCTCTTCTTCTAACTCCCCTATCCGCTTATCAAGCTGCTCCTCTCTGAGCCTAGCCGTCTCCAAAGCGCAATCCTGCTCAGAAAGGAGAACGCGGATCATGTCCTCTAAAGTTTCCCCTTTCCTCGTAGTTGATAACTGGGCCGACTCCGCCTTCTCCAAACCCACCACCTTCTCAGCGACCTCGTCACTCAAAGCAACCACTCGAAGTTGACACTCCTCCAGCTCGGCACACAACGAGACCACTTGGGCCTGAAGGTCGGCGCATTGGGCCTCAACCCCCCTGCTCAGCTCGAGCTCCTCTTCTTTTTCCTTCAACGCCCCCACGAGCTCGCTTCATTTTCCGATGACCTTCACTAATTTGTCATACTTCTCCTTTAGCTCATTTCGGAGAGCGCGAAAGTTGATACTCCTACCAAGCTTCCTGCAAAGCTCGCGGTGCTTATCACGATACTCGTGATATTTCTGCTACATTTTTTGGCAAATGTCCTTACGCCTCTCCTCTCGGCGAGAGCTTTCGATCTCCAAGATCACGGTCTGAAAAAAAATCCAGAGCGAGTAAGAACAAAATCATATTCGACATGGAAAACAAACATAAAAATGAAATACCAAACTTACCCTAAGAGTAAGGCCGACTATGCTCTTTGACAAAGTGGAGTCCTTCAGTTTCTCGAGGGTCTTACCCTCCACATCAAAACAGAGGGGACCAAGCGAAGGGACCACGTCCTCCGTATTAACTAGCAGATCCAGGTCCAGAGGGATCTCAATGGTCCACGTGGTCCACTCCAATATCACCTCGAGCCGAGTGAGTCTTTCTCCCATCATCCTAACCTTCTCGGCGTCCATATCAGAGCCCATCTTGTAACCCTCTTCGGCTACACTTTTTCCCTTCATGTCAACCTTAGAGAAAGGACCCTAGGCTAGTAACAAGGTCGATGGTTAACCCCATTGTAAGGCGTCAGGGACTCTCGCCAACGGCCCTTCAAAATCCGTTTCGGCCTCAGGAAGCAACGTACAAACCTCGGCCCCCGATGATGGTAGAATTGTGGGCAATAGCTCGGCATCATCTCTGAGGTTTGTGGTCGCCGTTTCATTGATGACGAAATCCTCCATCGCCGAACTCCCCGCACGGACAGCTCCCTCGCCGATATCTACAGATCGCCTTTTGCGGGGGAGCAGATTATCATCATTCGGCGACGACCCTTTCTCATCATCCTCGTCAATCAAATAACTCAGAGAGGAAGTTGAAAGTCCCGTTGCAGGAGTAGTCGATGACCGAGCAGGCCTCACCACAGTGGAAGGAACAAAAACGGTTTTCCTCTTGCGGAATGCCGGAGCAGGAGCCTTCTGCCTCCTCGAAGACCCTCAGGCTATAAAAGAGATTAGAATATCAACTCTTACTTAAAGTCGTAATGAGCAGGCGACCACAAGGTCAGAACGGCATAGGTAAAAGATCACTGTATAGATGAACACGGACGGACAAACTCACAGGTCGCTGAAAGCTTAGGCCCAAACTTCTTGATAAAGGTCGGCCATACACGAACCCTCACTGTGTGAGGCAGGACCTGGCTAACCCAGTCGTGAATATCCACAACCAAAAGAGGGGGCGAAGTCTCAGCTGAATGAGGAAAAGGCAGAATGTCAAGCTACAATCAAAACGGGCAAATTAAGCGATTAGAAAAAGATACTTACGGGGATAATTCCATGCCTCGGGAAACCCATTCTCATTGGCCACCACATCCTCGGTCTTGACGCAGAAGTAGTTGAGCCATAATCGACGATTTGCAAGGGTTCCCTATGGTAGAAGAAATAATTCCTCGTAGTAAAAAGCCTAGATCCGATTTCTCAAAGTTACCCGAGGACGACCCTGAGGTCTCAGAATCGGTGATGAATGCGGTTGCTTTTGCTGATTTCAGGGCGAAGTTCAAAATTCCGGACCATATCGATCTGGTCCTAGCGAGGCACGACGTGGTGCAGATTCATCGCCTAGGATACTGCGCATTCTACGCATATCCGTTCAGGTAGGCTACGTCTTTCCCCTTCTCCCATTGGTGGAGGAATTTTGTCGCTACTACAGCGTCTGCCCGGCCCAAATTTCACCTTATATCTACAAACGTATTCGCATGTTGACAAAATATGCGAAATTGGCTGGTCGTGGGATCTCTCTTCACCACCCGATGCACCTCTTCATACCTAATTTCTATAGAGGGTCGATGTTGCATCTTCGCCATCGACAAAGTAAGAGTTTGGTAGTGAAGATAGACGAGGGTAGTAAAAGTGTTGTCACCGTGAAGAGGCACACACACCGTCAGGGGAGTAGGATTAGACGCCGCACCAGAACCGGAAGTTACATTAACCATGGTCTTGAAAGAGGATGTCTAAAGCACAGGAGTGGGAAGCAACTATTGCTAGAACCAGAGGAATGGGCACGCAACGATGAAGCAGAATAGATACTAGGGTTCAATATGGAAAACGAAAGAGAAAAGCGCAGGGGATTCGATATCAGATGAAAGCAAAACAAACACAAAATGGCCTCAGATCCCTATTTATATGAATTCGAGCACCAAAACTAAGAAACCATGCCATCACTATCCGGCGCAGATATCGAAATGACAGAGGCACAAGAAACAATGTAGGGTGTCGGGAAAATACGTCATAATGACTCATGCTGTCACGACGTCATTCTGAAAAGACGCATCCCCAAAGCTTGCAACTTACGTAAAGTCATGTTGCCACCTCGCCTAAAGCACTGCTATCCAACTTGCTTGCCCAATTTCATCAACAACGACAAATAGAGTCCGCGCACCAAGGCCGCCCAACCTTGGCCTTAATAAGCGGAGGGACTAACTGTATAGGCCAAAAATCTGGCCTCGAAATATTTAGCATAAAATGGCATTAATGAACGTCATCGGTCGAGCTCGCCTAAGACATAACATAATTAAAGGCCGAGGTGTCGATATAAGCCGTGGTCGAGATAGCAATAGAGATCACAGTCAAAATATCAATAAGGGTCGAGGTCGAGATTGATTATTAGTGATAAGACTTGTAACAACTAATTTGTCAGAATAGGGTATTAAAAAGGGGAATATTCTAGTGAATATTCTTGGTGTTTGTATTATTAGGGTTTTCTAAGAAAATGGGCCTGTATATATAGAAAGAAGAGACAATGAGAAGGGCATGTGATATTGGGGCTGATAAGAACACTTTTGAGAAGAAGACTCCCTGTCGGATAAAAACACAAAGGCTACCTTTCTATAAAGATTCTCGTTCATATTATTCCCACTTTTCTACCAGATCCAAGGATTATTCATGCAAATCTTGGATCTATCTGTCATTCACCGTTGTCAGGCAGAATATTCACCTTGTCCATTCATTATCGGGTGAATCATTCTCTTTATTTATATAAATGCCATTTATTGACACTTATTGCTAGATATATCTCATTTATTGTTCTTGTTTTAAGAGTATTTCAGATTTATTGACATCAATCATATGCAAACTCAGCCCCATATATCTTGCATCCTTATGCTTAATATCTAGAGTCATTATCCTTAACTAGATTTGACCCGTCATTATATAAATTTAATAGTTTAACCGGAGATTATATTTCTTAGTCAAACAGTGCCTTAGAGCATTTTTACACTTTTCTTAATTATTCCAAAAGCTTATTTAATTAATGATTTAAGTAGTTGATTGAGTCGGTAATTGTGTCGTAGTGACTTATCTATTCCCAGGAAAAAAGTCCAAAGGTTCTGAAACTTTTTTATTATTGAAAATATTTACCGTGAATGTACAATTGAAGCAGTATTAGTGTTTTAACAAAGGTTTCAAGTAAGGGCTTATGTCATGAGAGTCTTTACATGATTGCTTGGTAACTTCCTATTTCTTTTTTGCAACGATAAAGTTCGAGTTAACTTGCATAAACCTTAATTATTCCACTGCATAGCTACTATCATCTATTATTTTTTGTCCCTATTAGGATTTGAACCTTGATTTTCAACGTTTATACCATTTCAATGATCACTAGACCATACCCTCGGGTACGATTTCTTGGTGACTTTGTTAGTTTCTTTGGTCAGAAAATTCCTATTACTGCTCTTTTTACTACTTTTTCTTTTGCCATTGTCCCATGTATAGTGTATACCTTATGATGGATTCAAATTCTGTGCTTTGGTGAACCTACAGTTCAACAATGTCCACTAAAAACTTTTTGAGTGTATATATAACCTACAACTTGTGGGATTACATCGGGTCTTCTGTTGTTGTTGATATATAACCTATGGCTTCATCAATGTTTCTTAAGTTAATTGAGGAATTGACTAGGAGGCATGTGGTTACATATGGACAGTCTCATTAAGCATGTATATATTTATTGGCTGATTATGATATTCTCACTATAACTTGCCACTTTTTCAATTTTTTGTTGTAATTGCAGCGAACATGTGCTATTTACCTTGGGAGTATGAAACCTGGGAATGATCAGGCCATATTCACTGTTGAATGCTCCCACTCCTTCTACTTCAGCTGCATCGCAAATAGTGTTAAGCATGGAAACTACCTCTGCCCTATCTGCAGATGCAAATGGAAAGAGATTCCTCCCATGTCGTCCTTCAGTACTGATACAACCATTAACAATGCAGGACGGACTCGTGTCTCTCTACTTGAAGATCAACCAACGGTATCTCTGCCCCTTCCTGAGCCCATTCACTTCTCTGATGATGAACCTCTTCCCAACATTACCGTGGATCATACCTCCTCCCCTTCCACCATTCATTCAGAGAGAATAGTCTTGAGAGCTTTTTCAGAATTTCCTATTGTTGCTGCTTCTGAAGCTGTGTCAAGATTTGTTGTTCTTGTTGGAGTAAGGGCACTTCCACTTGCTGATGATGCTAGGCACCGAGAGCGTGCGCCTATCGACCTGGTCACAGTTCTAGATGTTAGTGGCAACATGGCTGGATCAAAATTGGCTCACTTGAAGCAAGCAGTTTGTTTTGTCATAGATAACTTGGGACCTTCTGGCCGTCTAGCTATTGTTACCTTTTCATTAGGAGCTCAAAGAAACTTCCCCTTGCAAAGGATGAGAGAGCAGGGGCGTCGAGAGGCTGCACAAGCTATCAATTCCATCTCAGCTAATAGTGGAACAAATATCGTAGAAGGACTCAAGAAAGGAGTTCGAGTTCTTGAAGAAAGGCGTGAAATGAATCCAGTTGCTAGTATTGTTCTCTTGTCAGATGGGAGAGACACCTATAATGGAGATAATGCCAACCAACATCATAGTCCTCGGAATCGTAGATCCTCGAATGCAACATCAGGTCCAAAATATCTAAATCTATTGCCTTCTTCCATTTGTCCTCGCAATAGCGAAGCACTAGCAGCAGACCAACTGCCAACTTTTCATGTACATACATTTGGGTTTGGTTTAGACCATGATTCTTCTGCTATGCATGCTATCTCAGATGCATCAGGTGGTACATTTTCAATCATTGAGATAGTTGGTACTGTTCAAGATGTCTTTTCAATGTGTATTGGTAGTCTCCGCAGTGTTGTAGCTCAGAAATTAAAACTTACTGTGAGGTCAGCATCACGTGGAGTGAACTTTCTGAACAAGGAAAGCGAGGTCTAATATGTTGGGAAACGTGTCAGGCTAATAGAAGGAAATAATTATTTAAAAAATAAAAGCAATAAATTGCACAATAGAAGATTTACGTGGTTCGGTAATTTTTACCTATTCCACAGCCATACAAAGAATAGCTCTTTATTAATTGAAGAGAGAAAGAAGAAGTTGAATGATGATTTGCAAATAAAAATGCATACCTCCTTTTATAGGAATTTGAATGCCGAGTCCGGAACCAAAATGTGATTCTTTTGGACTCAAAGAACCAAAATATGTGGCAAACAAAACTTAGTGATAATTGTATATATAACGCCCTTTTAAAGGGCGCTATACCTTAACGGTCGTTTGCCCAGTTAAGTATAGCACCCTTTTAAAAGGCGCTATATATATAAAGCCTTTTTGAAAGGCGCTATATATATTATGTGAGCCAACCAATAATTCTTCTGGTCTTAACTGACATAACAATAATTCAACTAGGTATAGCGCCCTTATTTAAAGCGCTATACCTAAAATAATTGTACCCCCGGATTGGTTTTTACCTTATTTAAAGAGGTTAAGGATTTTCTAAAAATTCATTCATAAATATTCTCAAGTCTTCTGAAATATTTCTTTGTTAAGTTATTTTGTATTTTGTCATAATGTCTGAAGAGCGAAGAATAAGGGTTTCATTATATTGGGGGGGGTGAGGTTGTGGTGGCGAATAACTCAGTAACCTATAGTTTATCTCCATAGTATCATGTTAAGTTACCACTTACAATGGAGTACGATACATTGGTATCGTTGTTATGTAAAAAAATGAGTGTGAGCAAACGTTCGGTGAATCTTAAAGTAACCGGAAGATATCAGTATTCTATCACTCCACAAAGGGTTGCTTGTTATACAGAGTTTAACATCTAGGACAATGAAACTCTGAGAGATTTTTTGAGGACTCCGGATGAATATCGGGAATTTCTTGTGATAAAAATATTGGAAATGTACGTCAAGGTTGAAGACGTTCGCAATAATGAGGTTGCGCAAAGAAGGGATATTCATCAGTCATCGGGTGGTTATTTTGGAGCAGTTTTAGCCGAACATGTTCCGCCTGAAAGAGTTTGGCCTGGTCTAAACTTATCTCCACGGGCGAATGAGAAGCGAGGAAATAATTTTTCTCCTAGTTTACATAATCCACAAGACGAGTGGTAAACTTTAATTTTCCTTTGTGTTACGATATTTATTTTTATTGTATTGAATTTGTATTAACACTCATATATTCCACAGGGGGTACCGGCCAGATATACATTTTACAAGTTATGAACCAACGCCCAGTTGGAATATGCCTAGTTCTGGTGTGTTGGATCATGGTGGTCCATCCGGGAGTCATCACCAAGAGGATAATGTCCATCATAGGATGTCAACACAATACGATTTGTAAGTGAAGTGATATAGCTATATGTAAAGTTTGGATCAATTTGAGTAACTCATTATTTTGTTGGTTGTGCAGTGAAAATGAGCAACTTGAAGGTCCTGTCCTTACTCAATTGCCCGAAGACGACATATTTAATCAGGATCTGGCAGATGCACAAAGTCAGGAAGAGAATAGTGATTATGACAACAATGCCGATGAGTCTAGAGATGACACACCCTTCCTTTATGAGGGTGATGATGAGGAGGAAGAAAATTCTTAACCTGATTTGACAAGGGAGCATGCTCCACCCCCCGTTAGATCAAGAGTGTACGAGTCCTACATGTCATTTCATTCAAGGGAGATTCCCTAACTTAATCATTTGATAAGTATGCTAGGTGTGGATGCCCTCACAAGGGATGTTGACAAAATTCGGACAGCAATATGGGATGAATCTAGAGCAATGGTGCTATCAAAGGGCATGCTTTTTCCCGATAAAGCGTGCCTAAACAGGGCGGTGCTAATGTACAGCGTAAACGAGTGTTGTGAGATCATGCTACGCGAGTCATCTCCAGATGTATACAATGTAGTCTGTCGTAGATGGTTTACGGGTTGTAATTAGATGTTGCATGCGAGGAAGAAGAAAACAAATATATGGGTTATGGGTAAATACATTGGCACCCACAATTGTGAAATGGACACATTCAGTGGGAATCATTTTAACTTGAATGTTGCTTGATTTCTCTTGTCTTGATTCCACACATTGAAGTGTCCATAAGGCACAAGATCAAAAAGTGTATAACATCTGTCCACCAGGAATATAGGTGCACCATTACCAAAAGAAAGGCATTTTTCGAGCGCAAACGTGCGTTTGAAATTGTTTATGGTAACTGGGATAAGTCTTTTGCATCTCTACCCAGGTACATGGACATATTGCAACACTTTAACCCTGGGACTGTTGTTGAATGAAAGCTTGAACGGAGTCCGGAAATACCAGAACATATATTTAAATATGTGTTCTGGCCATTTAAACTAGCAATTAATGGTTTTCTACATTTTCGATCGGTAATATCCATAGACGACACTCATGTCTATAGAAAGTATGATATTAAGTTGTTGATCGTCGTTGCAGTAGATGCTAATGGAAGTATATTTCCCT